ACTTTTCATCTGTTATGAGTGTAGGTGCTAAAATCATGTGTTATGTCGAAAGCACAGCTTAACTGAGTACAGCCTGATGATACAAAGAGAGATTTGCTCACAGCTCAGGCTGGAACAGCGAGGTAAGAATTTTGCAATTAGTTATTATCCACTGAAGTCTAACTAATAAATCTTATTAGTATTTTAGAAATTGTTTTCTATGACCAGCAGTTCGGTAGGAATCGGATGGTGGAAGTTTAAGTAGCTCTTGAAAGTGTTGGACACCTAAAGGTGCTTACAACTAGAGCAGAGTTTTTGCATGGCTACAGAGATGAAGAAGCTCGGGTGATGGAATGTGATGGCAGCCGTGGTTGCAATGAGATTGCAAAGCTTTCAGTCCTGCAGGAAGTGAGCAAGGCAAACGGTAGAACTGCAGCTTCATTCTTCAGTGCAAGAGTTGTCCTCCAAAATCATGGTACACTAGAAGGGCTGAAGTTCCTCTTTAATAAGGCAGTGGAAAAGACAGTGTTTTAGACTCAAGTGAGTCAGTTCAACACGGAAATAACTGCATGGAATGCACCAGTTCTGCACACACAGACGAGGTACGAGGATCTAATTTCCTATTCTGTGAATATGAAACAAAATGTATCGCAGAGACCAGTGCACAGCCTTTCTCATCCAGAACAAAGATCTTTAATGTAATCCTATTTCTTAGTTCAGCTGATTTATATTGATGTCCCCCTGCAGGGATAGTTTCTGAGAAAGGAATAAGGCATTTCATCACGTGTCTACATTTTGTCTGGACTGCTCCTGGTGAATAAATGTTTCAGGTTTTGGCAGGTCTGCACCACATAAAACACTGGTGTGGCAGCACACAGTGAGGACCAGTGAGCTGGAGGAGAGGGTGCTTTGTTAGAAGCTGTCACCTGCATAGGATACATGTCCAAGGCCATCTGTTGTACTAACAGTGCTTAAAGCTTAGGCTGTGCTTAGGGATATCACATGTAGAATCACATGTAGAAAAGGTTTAAGTAAACTGTTACATCCACAAACCAGATGAATGCATTGACCTCATTATACTAAAATACGCTTTATTAATAAATAACAAAATAATTTTCCTGTTATTGATTGAAAGTTAAATAGGATTTGCACAAACACATTTTTTGTAAATTACTGTACACACCTGTACATCTGAGCTCCACATTTTCCTAAATCTTGCTATAGCATGTCTGAAAATGAGACCAAGATTGCAACATCCTATTGCAAAGGACAAACATGGAATTCTATCAACTTCTTTTGCGCATCTACAAATCCTGAGCATTTTTTCCTCACTGAGAATTTCTGTGAATTTCTGTGGGTTTGGAGTACATCACTGCTATGAAGCATGTCACCTACATCTTCCCACTTATACCTTCTGACAAAATTTTTCCATCCAATCAGCAAAAGGCTTAAAAACAGTAAAGCACAGTATTCAGCTTAGCAACAGGCATATGAGAAACCCTATTCCAGATCTGCCATTACCTCTAACATTTTTTCATTTGCATCTCTCAGCTGCAAGCCTGTGAGTACAGAGACCTATCTTGCTTGCTCTGGCTAGACACTGCAAAAATAAAGATCTAGATGATTGTGCAACCCAAGCTTCACACAGGCTGCACACTTTGCCTCAGTCTCTCCTAAGGGCAGCTGTACAACAAACTCTGCTGTCTGCTATACATTTTTATCTTCCCATTAAATTATACAGCTATATAGTTTCCTGATGTGCTAAACCTGAACTTCAGGCTTCTAGTAGAGCTAGAAGCCTAGCAGACAATGATGCACATCATTGCTGTAGCCCAGAGGCATGAATTCATTCTTCATCTTTTTCCCCATAAAATTTGTGTGGGTTACTTCTGAGTTGGCATTTCACTGGGATTTTGCTTGTGCTGTAGTTGTGTCACTCTCCTGCTGGTACATGTAATTTTACCCTGCTTCTTGAGCTGTCCTCTGAAGCTGCTCTCAACTTCTTCAAAGATTCTGCAGGCAGTAAATTTCTGCCTTCTCTCTGGGTATCAGTGTTGTCACTGACATATCACTACTGCTAGAGAAAACACCTGACCTGCCACAGGGTAACAGGTAGTCCATGCAGAGCCAGGGCCAGAGTTTATGAAAGTCCTGTCTTCACTCGTCTGTGCTATCACACAAGTGAATACAGGAAGTGAACATCATTTCTACCTCTGCTACAGACAGTAAAAATCCGGATTGCCCACAGACAGCAAATAACCAAAGGATGGTGTCATAAAGCCTCCTATTTCCGCTACAAATTCCTCAGTAGAACAAAAACTGTTCCAGCCACAGTATGTTAGGGTGAGCAGTCTGACAACAGGAGGTGAGGAACAAATAAAAGCATAAAAGCCCAGTCAAATACAATTATTCTTTGAGGAAGAAGCAGACTTGGAAGCAAAAGACAGGACCAGCAGAGACCTGCTGAAACGTTCCAGTACAGAGCAGGGCTACATACATGGGTCTACCTACCATTCCAATATCTTACCTGCTTCTGTCAAACCTTGACAAAGCTTGAAATATGAATTCAAGGAATGATGAACAGAACCACATTCAACAATAAGGTAATGAAATATTCTTCTAATTTCACTTTTACATACATCCCAATGATAACTGTTATCTGTACAGCATTATGGCAACAGAAACTGTTATGGCCAAAATAAATGCATTTAAATCCTCAGTACCTCTCACTAAAACATAACAAACAAGCAAGAAACCTCTGGAACTAAAGAGATTCCTCTGTTTGACAGTCTTGTGCTTTTTTGTCAGGAGATGCTGCAGTATTACATGAAATACAGAATTACTGAGTATCTCAGTAATTTATAAACAGTACAAGCTTTGAATGAAAAAGGGAAAGCCACCTTCTCAAATGATCCTATCACTATCACTTCCCAAGGAGGCTGTCAGTCTTAGCAGGAGTAAGATTCTCATTTCAGAAAAAACATCGTACAGAGAAGAACTTGGGTGGTTGCTTCTTCTTTCTTTCTTTTTTTTTGTTTTTCTTTTTTTATCTTTTTTTTTTAATGTTAATACTCACTTAAGGAACAGATCTGGAGTGATTATTAAAATTCACATAAGAAAATACCTAGATAACAGCTTGCATTTGGATAGCAGTGAAGAAGTGATTTGGAGAGCTCTAAAGATCCTCAGTCTTCCCATTGTTTCCAAAATCAGTTCCAGGTAAGTGCCTAGAACTGCCTCACAAGACTACCACTGTTCTGCACTGAAGTATCGAAGTAAGATTTTGCATGAATTGCAAAACATGCTATTAAAATAGCATTTACTAGAAGCTATGTTAAGGCACATATGAGATAAAGAGGTGATTCGAGACAGCCAGCATGGCTTCACCCAGGGCAGATCGTGCCTGACCAATCTGGTGGCCTTCTATGATGGAGCGAGGCATCAGTGGATGGGGGAAGGGAGTCGGATGTCATCTACCTGGACGTCTGCAAAGCCTTTGACATGGTCCCTCAGCACATTCTCTCTAAATTGGAGAGGTGTGGATTTCAAGGATGGACTGTTGGATGGATGTTGGCTGGATGCAGCCAAAGGGCTGTGATCAATTGTTCTGTGCCAGGTGAAGGCCGGTCACAAGCGGTGTCCCTCAGGGGTCGGTCTTGGGACCGGTGCTCTTCAGCATCTTCATCAATGACAGATGATGGCATCGAGTGCAGCCTCAGCAAGTTTGCAGATGGCCCCAAGCTGAGCGGTGCAGTCGATGCATCGGAGGGAAGGGAAGCATCCAGAGGGACCTGGGCAGGATGGAGAAGTGGCCATGTGAACCTAATGAGTTCAACGAGGCCAAGTGCAGGGTGCTGCATTGGGTCGGGGCAACCCCAGGTATTGATACAGACTGGGGGCAGATCTCCTTGAGAGCAGCCCTGCGCAGATGGACTTGGGATCCTGGTGGATGAGAAGCTGGCCATGAACCAGCCACTGAGACAATCAGAGTGCTGGAGCACCTCTCCTGTGAGGAAGGGTTGAGGGAACTGGGCTTGTTTAGCTTGGAGAAAACAAGGATTCAGGGAGACCTCACTGTGGCTTTCCAGTACTTGAAGGCAGCATATAAACAGGAGGGGAACGGCTTTTTACAGGGTGGATAGTGATAGGATAAGGGGGAATTGGATTAAGGGGGATAAGGGAGATAGGGGAGGTTTAGGTTGGATATTAGGAGGCAGTTTTTCAGCCAGAGGGTGGTGATGCACTGGCACAGGTTGCCCAAAGAGGTTGTGGATGCCCCATCCCTGCAGGCATTCAAGGCCAGGCTGGATGTGGCTCTGGGCAGCCTGGTTTGCTGGTTGGTGACCTGCACACAGCAGGGGGTTGGAACTAGATGAGCATTGTGCTCCTTTGCAACCCAGGCCATTCTATGATTCTACAACAATCTAAAAATCGTGCTCTGTGTAGTTTGTTTCTTCATGCATGAAGAACAAGATTCACACCATACTGATGGTTTAGCCTCATGCCTCTGTTCTACTGCAAGACACCCAGTATCTCCCCATCCTCCCTGTTTCACACAGCAGTTCTTCCAGAATAAATCCCCCAGTCTCATCTTCCTCATGGCAGAACCATTCCTGATGACAATCACCATTCTCACCTTCCATGCATGAACCATCTCTCAACAACTCACTCAAAACGGGTTTTGCAGGTGAAGGAAGAGAAGCAATTCAAGCACGCCATCAGGCTTGAACATCCTTGTATCTTGCACACATAGGTAGGCTCCCTGGCCTGTACTTTCCCTTTTCTTGAATACTGTGTTCATCACCTGTTTATCACCATTTGTTTATAAATAGAGACTAAAATTTTTTGAATGGATGTGGAAGTGTTTTCATTTTTTTCTAGTTGCAAGTGACCACTCATTTTGAGTAACATCTGTCATTACTGCTGCTGAATAGTAATAGAGTAGTAATGTAAGCATAATTGTTCTGCTCACTACAACAGTAAGCTGCCACTTACTGGGTAAAAAAACAAAGAAAACAGAGTCTAGCCTCACATCTCTTGATTATCCACCTTCACCAAGAAGGAATGGAGTAACACAACATTGAACAAAACTAAGTTAAATGCAGAATTACAAAAATTAGTGCATTTGTTAATGTCATGGAATAGGACAAGAAACCCATTTCAACTCCAGAGATCAAATAAATTAAAAAGAAAGGATATAACATCTATCATGGATTCAGTGAAAAACTGAAATAACAGACTAGTCTTGAGATCATAAGCAGATTATCTCTTTGTACAGAGGGCAATAGGCTGCTCAGTAGTTCTTTGTATAGGTGACTTTGCCAGGTGGGATCCACGGAAAAGGCACTTCATTCCTATGCACAACACGGAGGTTCTTCTGCTTCTTCTGAAGTTGCTCTCTCCTCAACATGTTTCCCTGAGAATAAAACATTATGTCAAATAAAAGAACTCTAGGGCAATTGAAAAGTCAGAATTATTGCTGCATCTTTCACGTGAAGTTAATTTGCCATTTGGAGCTTCACACATCCCTCTAAGGACTCAGCAGCCACGCACACTGCACAATGAAACACAGAGGCACTGTAACATGTGATGTTATTTGCAGGTGAAGTGACAGTCTCAGGGATGAGATGGCTTTGTGTACCTTTTAAACAAAAAAGACAAGAGAAGGCCTGGTGAATTAAGTACTATGTCCGTCTTGAATTGTGGCAATTGGACAGACCAATACAATAGGAAAGGCATTACAACAAAGGTGTGATTACAAAATGCACAACAGAGAGGTGCCATAAAGGAAGGAGACTTATCAACCATATCAGAACATTCTAGATTTGCAGGGAAAAGCTTAACTAAGGAACGATCTTCAGAAAGAGATCCTTCCCCAGTGGCAGTCAGCCCTTAAATGGGGTCCAAGAGACATGCAGCCAGGCTGCACCCCTTCCAGTCACACAGCTGAACTGCCTTCACCTGAGCTTCCAGGGCTGACCCAGTCCTTTCCCAGGTGATCAATCAGTGCTTCAGGCTGTGCCTCAACAGCTCCCATACACTGCACCCCTTCACAGCATGAACCAATGATTGAGCCAGCTGGAGGGTGAGCCTTCCCTAATACAGGGATCCTAACACTTACACAATTGCAGGTTGACACAGTGTAAGACAATTGATGATTGGTTTGTGGTTGGGGTTCATGTTCTCCCATGGGCCAGTGCTTGATGGTGTTACTGGAGGCACGCAGTTGTTTGCTGCAGGTCCATCCTATGTTCCATCAGTCCCACATAGCCCATTACCAGATGTCATGCTCTCACAATGACAGTGGAATGCTTCGATGACATTTTGCTCCTTCCTGTCATCCTAGAGTCTTCCAAAGGCTCACAGAGAGTAGTACAGATGTTTCAGAGGTACCAGGAGGGGAAGGTCCGCCCTCCAGGGCAAAGTACAGGCTGTATTCCTATCCCAGGTCAACACTTCAGCTTACACTGGGGATGTCCCAGCCACCTGTACCACACCATTGGCCAGATATCTGTGGCTCATAACTGTATCAGGCACCAAAGGGGGTCCTGATCTGCCACAGGGACATGAGGAGGGGCCCTTAGCAATGAAGACCAGGGTGCTGACCACATCGACTGCAGGCCATGTACCGATTACCAGGCAAATGACTGATTCCCCAACCTTCAACAGTCTCCCGCAAGGCACAAGTGGGCCACATCATTTTGGTCCTACTTGCACCTTCCGAGGCCATTCTATGGGCCAGTCTATGGGTACCTGGTTCTAGATTCTCAGGGATAGAAGCAGAAGGTTATTTTAATTGCCCATTTGGGGTCTTAACCAACCATTGGTGCCCGTAATTTGGATTCTAAGCAGGGAAGCCCATGTTGTCTGTAGCACTTTCAGGGCACTGGATCTGCTGTCTCTAGTGCTTTCAATCAATCATCCTGTATCTTTCTTCTACTCCATGCCAGATCTGAAACCAAAACCCAACGGGGGTCCAAACAGAACTCTGGCATTGCCACAGGCCCCAGCCAAACCCATCATGAGTTACATGGACTTCTAGTTCGGCTGGAAGGATGGGATCAAATACACCCAATGCCTGGGCTTGTTTAACTGCCACTTTGATCTGTTGGAAAGCCTCTTGTTTCATTCTCCCCCAGTTGCCCCTTTTTCATGAATCTGTATAATGGTCTCAGCAGCTGCACTAAATGTGGTATAAAGGAACACCAGCACCCCAACATACCTAAGAACTCCTGCAGCTGCTTTGGTGTTGTAGGGGCTGGGAATGCCTGAACCTTATCTGTTACAGCACTGGGCAGTACTTTGGTCTTTCCTGACCAAACTGCCCCCTGGAATTTCACAGCAGGCCCGGACCTTGCACCTTCTGAGGATTTACAGCCCATGCTCTTCCAGTCAATGAATCTGCCACCTGTCCTACTGCCTCCAGTGAGTCAGATGTCAACAAGAGATCATCAACATAATATATAAGCTAACATTATTAGGTTTTTCCCAATTAGCCAGATCACATACCAGGTTATGGCAATATGTTGGTGCATGCACGTACCCCTGTGGCAGGACCTGAAAGGTCCACTGCCTGCCTCCCCACATGAACACAAACTGGTCTTGTGATTCGTCAGCAACTGGGATACTGAAGAATGCATTTGCCAAATCTAGGACACAGTGATTGGTTTTTATCTCAATGAGTCCATTAAGGAGGCAATATTAGGTATGGCCACACAAACAGGCGGTGTGACCTTATTTAATTCTCTATAATCTACTGTCATTCTCCATGTTCCATCTGACTTTCACACTGGCCATATGGGAGAATTATACGGGCTACGTGCAGGTCTTACAAACCCAACTTCCTGCTGAAAGAGTATGTGCATTCACCAACCTACAGTCATAACTTAGTGGCACATGACCTTAGCAGAGTGGAATAATCATAACAACATAAAACTGTACCACTATATTGCTGATCTCCTGTTGACAACTGACTCACTGAAGGCATTAGAAAAGGTGGCAGACTCATTGACTACTCCTTTGCAAAAGGAAGGGTAAGCTATAAACCCAAAAAAAGTGCAAGGATCAGGCTTGTCATTGAAATTTCTGGCTGTAGTTTGGTTAGGAAAGATCAAAGTACTATCTAGTGAAGTAACAGACAAGGTTCTGGCGTTTCAAGTCCCCACCATGCCAAGGCAGTTGCATGAATTGTTGGGTATATTAAGACACTGGCATTCCTTTATACCCCATCCAGTGCAACTGCTGAGGCCTTTGTATTGACTCATGAAGAAAGGACAAAAATAGGACTGGGGGAGAACAGAAGAAGCATTCCAGAAAGCAATGGAGACACTGGGTATATTCGATTCCACCCTTCCAGCTAAACTAGATGTCCGTGTAGCTCAGGATGGCATCAGCTGTGGCCTATGGCAGCGTCAAAATTCCATTTGAACCTCAGCTGGGTTCTGGTCTCAGGTTTGGCATGGGTCACCTATCTTAGCCAGAGGGGCAGTTTGTCTTCATCACCACTGAAAGAAGAACTCCAGAAGATCCTAGGCCCAGTGACGTATCACAGTGATGCACCAAAAGAAACATTGGCCGCTCCACCAGAGAAGAGTCCCATTCAGGATGGGAAATATCTCATTTCTGAAGATGCCTGGTACATGGATGGGTCCAGCAAGGGCAACCCGAGCAAGTGGAGAGCAGTGGCATACCCTCCACTAAAACGATCTGGTGTGAAGAGGGGGATGGTCAGAGCAGCCAATGGGCAGAACTGAGAGCCGTGTGGATGGTTATAGCCAAGGAACCTGGTGATGGTATCCTGAATATCTGTACAAATAGCTGGGCTGTGTATCAGGGCCTCACATTTTGGATTGCACAGTGGGCCACTCAGGAATGGACTATGCATGCCTGAGCAATCCAGAACAGAGATATGAGGTTTGACACATGGCACATGATTAAACACAAGACCATATATGTCTACCACGCTTCTGGTCACCAACCCCTTCAGTCACAGGGAAATGATGAAGCTGACACACTGGCCCAAATGTGATGGGTTGAGAATTCACCAATTCATTCTGAGAACACCACACTCTGGTTACATGGCCTGCAAATATCATGCTCAACACTCCAGTTTTCATCACTAAGGGAACCTTAATTATGCCCCTGTGGCAAATCTGGACTTCTCCTTTGGTACCCGATATAGGTGTGTATCCTCAGATATCAAGCCAAAGGATACAGATGGCTGGGACATGCCCCAGTGCAAGCCAAGGTGCTGACCCAGGATAGAAATGGGAACTGTATCTTGCTGCGGAGGGCAGACCTAACCTTCTGGTATGTCTGAAACATCTGTGCTACTCCCTGTGAATCTCTTTGTGTCCACAGGATCACCAGGAAGAGCAACATGACATCAAGATGCTCCAGTCTCACTATAAGATCAGTGTGACACCTGGTGGTGGACTATATGGGACTGACAGAATGTGAGCTGAACCTTCTGTGGTCCAAGCAACAATGTGCCACCAGGAGAACACTGAGTACAAGCCCTCAAAGGAGGCCTGAAACAGTCACTGAGCTCCTGGTGGGAAGGGAGGGCCAACTCAGAGGAGCTCAGGTGTATGCAGTGCACCTGAGTGACTGCAAGGGGGGGGGACAGGATCTACCCCTTCCCAGATCTCATTTGAGCGTTGGCAGTAGAGGTGAGGGCATCTCTTGCTGGAGATCCCTGCCTACCTGAGGCTTTCCAAAGGTAAGCAGCTTTGTTTGCATTTTTGCAGCTGCTGTGTTTGGGCTTATTCTCATTTGCTGTAGCCATACTTTTGTCATTCTGCCTTCTATCCCATTATATCATTACTCCCGCAAATTCCTAAGATCACAGACTCTTAAAGGTTGGAAAAGAGGTCATCTAGTCCAGCTCCCTGTTAAAGCTAGAGCAGACTGCACAGGAAAGTGACTTTTTTTTTCTGTTAGTTATACTGAAAAGACAAATAGTGAGATGAGAGAATAGACAGGTAAATGGGCATAGACATGTTATTGTGAAAGAGGGAGCTAGAGAGGAATCTTTCATTAAAACTTACTAATACCAGCTATACTTGTGTTATGTACAAAAAATAAGCGTATAAAGTGCTCTGAAATATCAGCTCTGTTGCTAGTGCTTTTAACCTGTGATCTCCAGGCTTTTGTTTAGGTGAATCTTAAGATCCAATTCAATTAAGAATACCTGGTCTGGCTAAACCAGCACACAATTATTTCACGTTATTACTAGTGAAACTGACCGTAAGCAAGGCCAGGTTTGTATGAAGTAATATCGTTTACTAAAACTAGCAATACAGAACAGTTAATCTATTAAATAATATTATCTCTGTAGAACTGTATCTTCCTGGACTGTAAGGGTCAAGTACGACAAACTGGGCTCAGTGAGCACTGTAAGATTCTGATCCTTTTCTACCATCCTGAACTTTTGTCTCCCTCCCCTTTAAAAGGTATCCCACACCTATACAGCTGCTGTCTGTCTCAGTTGTTAAATAAGCCCAGTTAAAAAAAGAAAAAACACTGAAAACCTATTTGAGACTCTGGAAAAGGATTCCTTTTTAGGCTATTGATGCTGCAAGTGAGCTGCAAGGACCTTACACCAGCTGAGCTGCAAGATGCCATTCTTATTGAATGGGAACAGTGCCCTTACACACAGACTATGCCACAAATCACAAGGAAATAAAACAACACAAGAAATGCTTTAAAAAAAACCAATCCCTTAAAGTCAACATGCTGAATGTCTGTGCCATAGAGCAAGCATGGAAAAAGCAGGTATTTGTTTAACCAGCAAATCATACAACTGTCAAGAAAACAGTTTATGCTAAGAATATCAGCAAACTCTCCTGGTTTGTATAAGGAAAACCGTATTTCCTTAATGTGGGGATTAATTTAAAGCTTAACAACTTGGACTAAAGTTTGGTGATGTAGGGAAAATATAAATGGCAGCATTAGTTTCATACTTTCTAGTCAATGAAGATCTCAAACTTTAGTAAAATGGCTTTATCAATTTTGTGACGTGGAATTCTCCACTTCAAATGTTTTCTCAAATGTAAGTGCATACACTGTTACAACTGGTAGTGCTGCTGGGTTTTGCTGGTTTTGTGAGCAAGCCCTTCAGAGATGGCTGCTCCTGACTGTATGGGAACTGCTGGGTCACAGCCTGAAGGTGAAGGCAATTCTCCTGTGCTGCCGGAAGGGGTGGAACCTGGCTGCACCCCTCCTAGCCCTATTTAAGAGCTGGCTACCAGAAGGGAAGGATCTCTTCTGGAGATCTGCTCTGCTGGTGTTTCGTGAGTGAGCCCAGGATAAGGGTAAGCCTTCCATTTATTCTCTTTTGTTATCGTAGTCTGCTTTGCCTAACTCTCTTGTTTATTTTGTGGTTATAACAGCCTAATATTCTTTGATTATACACTGACAAAGAATAGAAGAAAATACTATGGAATGCAAAACTCCAAGTCACATAAGTGGGGAAAATAGATTTTTTTCATATAAGCTAAAGTTCCAGCACATCATACTTGATTACTTTGTTCAAGAAGTTTTGGGGACTAGCTATGTGTTACTGCCATCATCTGGTCTCTCCCTGTAACACTACAAAAAAAAACCAGGAACACTAAAATGCAAAGTATTCACCCTCGTTACTACATTCATTTCTTTGATTTTTATACAGTGTAAAACATTTATAAATTACCAGCCATCTTTCGTATTCTTCTCTGGCCATTTTATCTTTTTCATCCTTCTCTGCCTGTTGTATTTCTTTTTTTCTTCTCTCTCTGACTTTTTCTGCCTTCTTCTGTTTCATATACTCCCTTTTTTTATCATTCCTGTGAAAAGGATGAACAGGAAATCATTTTTCAACAATCTAAATGCCGTATCTGTGACCAATTAACTAACTTGATTTCAAAGACCTATTTTATGCATTTAATAGCAGATTAACAACAAACATATGTAAAATCTTCGATGCCCATCTTCATGCATGATATCACCAAGATATACGTAGCTTGCTCTGAAAGTAATGCCTCCTATTTATTTCCATGGAATCAGCAGTTATTGTTGAGTCATGGCCTGAAGCACTGATTGATCACCTGGGAAAGGACCCAGTCAGCCCTGAGAGCTCAGGTGAAGGCAGCTCAGCTGTGTGACCAGAAGGGATAGAGCCTGGCTGCACCTCTCTTACACCCCATTTAAGGGCTGACTGCCAGCTGGGAAGGACCTCTGGTTGGAGATCCCTCCCTTGTGCAGTCTTTCCTGTGAGCCTAGATCTTTGGAGACATGTGAGCACCTTTATTTTTCCCTTCTAACACCGTTCCATCTGCACTAGCACCTTTGCTGTTACACCCCTGTATCAACCTTCTACTGCATTAACCTTTCCAATTGTAACAGATACAAAAAAGCACAATCACTATTGGATACAGCTGCAGAATGCTATTTAGTAACACAGTCAACACCATTAGCCAACTGGTGCAGATGAGCTGACTGAGATGCTATTCGCTCTGTGGTGCGACAGTTGTGCAGGGCTGTCCAGAATGTGGCTTGTCTTTTACGATGCTGTTGCCGTGGCTGAAACACACCACCTGCCACTCACTGTGCCCACATCCAGTGTTTGGTCACTGGGTGCCCTTTCTTCCTCATGGAGGAATTCAGTGACATACCTCTGCTTCATGCACACTTTTATGTCAGATGTCATTTTGTCAGACTGCCCCTCTGCTGCCATCTGTCACACAGCAACGACATGTAATGATATACTGGTGGGAACACTCAAGCTCTACTGCCATACCACTGGCATCAACTTCTGACTTTGCTGGCCAACGCACTAAAATAGGAGGCATTACTTTTGGAGCAGTCCTCATACATGAATTTAATCTTTTACCTATTATGATATCATCTTATCTACTTTCTTTCTTATGTTACCATATAAAAATAGATTTAAAAGTTGTGCAGGTAATAGTAAGTTGCCCATGTAAGTCTCTGAAGACTCCTGGCTTCTAAAACTAACAAAGAGTTTCTCCAGCAGATGCATCTTATTTGCTTTTGAGTACACCTACATTCATATGCTGTACTACAAAAGCTTTATGAAAGACCCACCTCCCTTCCCATTGCTTAGTAATGAAGCACGATGCTAGTCACGTAAGACTTAACACTAACTGAATCCTACTTATCAGTTGCTGTATCTCTGCCAGGGCTGAGGCAGCTGCCTTTTGGGGAAGAAAGAGTCTAAGTTACTAAATTGAAAGAAGCCGCAGGCTGTTCTCACAGCTGTGCTTATTAGCTCTGAGTGAAAAGCTTGTTCCCAACCATGCCACTGTTCCTCAGTCAACAGCGTATCAAACACTACAGACAACCCGTTCAGCAAAATTTTGGATGCTGATACTTCAAAATCCTAAAGGAGGTACCATTTTTCAACTGCTGATATGCTGTCTCTCTTCTTTTCTGCAGCTAATTCCTCTTCTTTCTTCTTCCTGATTCTTTCAGACTGTTCTTCCTGTCTGCCTTTCTCTCTCAAATATTCTGTTTTTTTCTCTTTCCATTTTTCAAACGCCTAAAGAAAATAACAGATTAATCAGCCATCTTATCCCTCATCTCTGTGTCAATACTCTTTTCATTTATTCAGAATTATTATTTGTATTTCTATAGTTTCAAATTTTGGAATATTTACTTGCTGCATTGCTCAGAAGGGAATCTCACTTTATCTAAGATGAGTAAATTATTTTCCCAGTAAGTCTTAACTCTTTGCCTATGTATATATATATATATGGAGTTCATTTTATGTTCAGCTGACAGAACATAAATACAAAAAAAGCCTGTTTGCATATTAATGTTATACAGCAAAAAAGACAGAACTGCTTTGGGTAGGGACCTTAAAGATCATCTAGTTCCAACCCCCAAATGAAGCAGTTTCTACTCAGCATCCATCTCAGCTGTCTAAGAGGACGCACTGCCTCTGAATCCTCAGAGTATGGAAACCACCACCTCAGGGCTGCAGGGACCTTCTGAAGCAGCTGCATATTTTCAACAGGACAGAATCTCACAGTGCCCTGTTCAAAGACTAACCATGTTCAGACTTTGGAATCCCCTTCATTTCCGTCTCCTGCTGGATTAACCAAGTTATCCTCAACAATTCCCTAAACCACAGCTCATATACATTTATCTACACACTTCACTTTACCTTCTGTGCTGCTTCTGCTCTTTCTGCATTCTGTTCTGCTGCTTCCTTTTCCTTCAGTTTCTCAAGCTTCTTTTCTTCATTCAACTTCTTTGCTTCTCTTGCTTTCATTGCTTTCCAGGATTTAAAAGATGCATCTGCTTCCTCTCTTTTAACGGCTTCTTTCTAGATCAAAAAATACCATTCTCAATTTAAGTACATTTGAATATAAAATACAACTGTAATTGAAAACACTTGCTTTGAATTGATTCTCATATACAGATTAATATAATAGAGAAATGGAAATAGATTTGTAGAAAACACTCCAAATGAAGTATGAACTATACACTTCTATGCTCATTTTAAACAATTTACTCAAGTTTATATCAACTTATATAAATTACTCCTGCAAAGTGTGTGGAAGAACATGAAATACATATTAAATGCTCAAAAGGAAAGCCTGCTTAATACTGGAAAAACAGATCCACGAGCTACACATTCAAAAGGTAGAAAAGTATTCCTTGAGCTACTGAGCAAACTGATTTTCCAACAGAAGATATGTTAGAGCTTAACACTGGAATGGATGAGCATCCTGAGGCCTTTGTGAACAAGCTTGAAAATTAATCCAAAAACACTCCTAATATAACTGGTGGGAAGCAGGTAAGTTTGCATGTTTCTGCAGGAAATCACTAGCCTTGTACTCTTATACCAATCACAATAACTAGGACATGCCACTTTTTCAACTCACTCTATTCTAGAGAAAACCAGTAACCTTATAATAGGAGTGATGTCATCTGCAGAAAGCACAGGTCAACACACTTTAAAAAAAGTGGTAGTTTGTCCACTTCACTTAAACTGAGAGTGTAAACAAACCTTTTCAGTATCATTCCTCAGCTCCTCAGCTTTTTTCTTCTCAGCTCTCTTTAATTCCAGTAGAAAGGCTCTTTTCTTTTCCATCCAGTTCTGTAAGAATCATTGGAAGGCATACATTTTTGAAGTGTTTTTAAGCTGTAACTAAATAAGTTCCACATGCAACAACTGAATATTATTAGAGCAGCACCAGTACAATGACCACCAAAATGACTCCCAGTTCTTCCGCTCGCTGCTGCACTAATTACTCCATGTGGAAAAAGAAAGCTGTGCTTCAAATCACACTGATCTAAGCACCATTGGCACACGTTTTTTTTGTGTTCAAAAATGTCTAAGAATCTACAATAATAGCTACAACTACAGAAAAACCTTATGAACCTCTAAAATCTTTGAAAAATATAAAATGAAATTGTACTCAGGATATACAGATTACTGTTCCAGAGAGAATGCCAGAAGTGTTTTTACTTCTAAAGGAATCCTAAACTACTTACTTTGGCCAAGAAAAAACAAAGGAAATCATATCATGTATATGAGAATAATCTGACATAACAGTAAATCATAAAACACTGCATACCTTTCATTTAGTTTATTAGTTCATAATTTTTAGAAAACATGACCAACAAAAGAAATTATACATAAGCATATGCAAGTAACATCATTACAAGGATTGACTTAATGAAAGTAAGCATGGCTGGATCCTCTAACTAGACTTTTATATGCATAGGTGTTTGTTTGTTTTTAAGATCTACCTGGAAAACAGCTGCTCGCAAACTATCTGCTCTGTCAAATTCTGCATTGTTCTTCTGCAAGTGTTTATCCTCTAAAACCTTTAATGTTCCCAAATAGCGAGGTGGAACAGTTGCAGCTGATGGAACAGCTTTCACTTTTTCCTTTAAGTGTGCAGAAGGCAGAAACCTACAAAGACACAGACATTATTAAAGATCCTTCTATGTCTTGTTAATGATAGCAAGTAATGTTCCTTTTTTTCCCACCAGAAGTTACTGTGGCTGTAGCTGCACTTGTGTGGGGACAGGAAAAGAAGGAAGCCTGTTTGCTTTGGACAGCTTATTATTGACAAAACAATCTGTTAATCAACACATTCAGACCAACAGCTTTTACAAGCTTCTGGTACTTTCACCTATTAAATTAAAAAGTGCTTAAAACCTGTCAAGATACCATGGGCTGGACTCACTGGTGAAGATACTAGCACAAACTCATTACAGACACTGGCAAAAGACTTGGAGTCTAAGTTTAGCAAGAAGTACAATAACGTGCCTCATCTTCTCTCCACAGATGGCCAGAGGCTGTTAGCAATTAAAAAACTGTTGATAGAAGATGAGTGCAAAGTGATATTGTCACAGTACTTACAGATACCCTGTAACCTGTGATATGTAGTATAATCTCTTACTTGCAAGACGAGGATTTTGAGCTCTGTAGAACTGCTTTCGTTGTTCCACTTTGTTTCTAAGACACAAAAAGGGAAAATTGTGTGTCAGGTAACAGAACTAGAGTATCATGACAAGGATTTTGAAGGCCAACATGTTAAATATGTTAATATGCCAAATACATACACAAGAAAGCCACTCAAATATAGCACAGGTACAGTATGGGCTACAAAGTTTTTGTTTTTTAATAAAAAAAAGAAACAAAAACAAACACCTGACCAGAAGTCTATAGTTGAGAGACACGAAGGAATAAAAACAACCTGGCTGAGCAGTGGGTTTCCTTGCTACAACAGTAACTGTTTTCAATATTTAGCTTTAGCAGTTACATACATCCACATGCTTTCTTTCTTGCAGTAAGGCCTAAAGTGCTTTGTATCTTACTTGTTAATCAAGTCATGCAATGGATTCCGTTCTCTGCCAACATATGCTGCTCACTTCAACTCGGAACAGAGATCTGACATGTTTACTTCAATAAGGTTATTAAACTCAGTCTTGAAAACACAAATTTCACTGACTTTATCACTTTTAAACTAACAGTGCAAAAAGTGCTTCCTGCCCCTTCAGGAAGGTATTCCCTACATATTCCTTAAAAATAAACATGATTTATGTGAGCCCTGGGTCCAGAAGTTTTATAAGCCGAGTTTTAAACACTAAAGGAACCAACAGTAAATTCATTTACAGAAGCTTTCACTGCATTTCTCGGACATTTTTCTGAACAACGGTAAAAATGCACACAAAAAATACCTGCCCAGAATCCTCTGAAGTGTTCTTCACCTCCCCACGGTTGGACTCACCATCCACTGGTAATTCTTGTATTGCAGCTGTTCCTACTGGCTCTTGCACAATTCTCTCCTCATATGAACTGTCATCTGCTGACCTCTCTAACTTTGTTCTCTCGTGTGCTGTGGTGGTCATTGCTACTATCAGAGCAGCAGGTTTCCTACTATTATCCTCCACTGACAGTTTCATGTCACTGTTGATATCTTTCTTCTCATCTAGAGGAAGTAAACAGATTAAGTGGACACATTCACTTAGACAACATATGAACAAGAATTCTGTAGCACAGAAAGAACAACACTGAGAAGCTAAAAACATTTGTCTATGAAACTTATTGCTAAATTTGATATTGGACAATTTATTTTCTTTATATGTGCTCATAAGAACAGTATGGACTAATGACAACAGTATTCATTTACACTGAAATGTACGATTGGACTGGCAAGATAAAAGCTGTAGCAAATGTTATAGAATGTAAGAGAGGACAAGAACAGCCAAATTTCCCAATTTTCTCTCCACTCAATTACATTTCTAGTGCAGCAATCAAAAAATAAGAGCCATTTCAATCACATAAGATCTCTCCCGACATCAAATCAACTACCACTTTCATAGGCACAGTTCTACCAGACTTCGAAAACACAGTTTCTAAATGCCTGGGACAATACTGGATTTAGACATAACTGCAAGAATAAGGCCAGGCCCTTCACAGAAGCAGAATACAAGGAGACAAGGGCAAGAGAGTAGAAAGGTAATTAAGAAAACTGCCAATTTTAAGACTTGTATTGGAATCTCAGATGATACTGAGGCATAAGCAATGACCCCCATCTGGTCTTATGTACTTAAGTCCTACCTTTTTCAGGTGGTGCTTCTCCACACAGTAATGAATTGGAGTCTCCAGATCTCTCATTGTGGGGAGTAGAGGAAAATGATGGTGAAGTACTTTCTAGACGTGGGCCCTTAGATCAGAAAGTGGCAAATAAACAAGTGGGCAATTCATAACAATTACGAACTATTTATCTTGAGTTCAAAACACACTGATAGAATGTTTCTTCAGAACTCTCTAAGTACTGGTACTGTCTTATATTCAGAGCAATCAAACCAATCAACAGAATTCTTAAAGCCTGCAAAATATCACGAAATCCTATTTCTTGTTAGAAAGAAAAATAATGATGTTCTCTTATTTGCCCTCACCACAAGAATACTACTGGCAAAGATTTTTCCTCCTCTTTTTCTTACAGAACATTTTGATAGTGAAATGAAAGTTACTATCAAAAGCTTCCAATGTAAATTGTAAAAATAAAATAAGCACGTACATTCTCCATTTGCACTCTTACTTCAGGACCAGAGCTTGTGGCAAGCACTGCTTTATTGCGTGAGGCTCTGGCTCAGAGTAGCTACAGGCAGTGGCGTCCAAAACGAAGACAACACATTTCTAGGAGTTATTTTTCTTTCTGACCTACTAAGCTCAGTGTCTTTCACTTGACCAACTTTTGCTCAGTGTCTTTCATGTGACCAACTTTTCCCAATACACTTCTTGGTTGAGCTTATGTTTTATAACAGCCGCCTAGCAAAGGAACGTTGACATTCTGAGATGAAAATGAGTACTATGGTTGAACTTGCATCTAACTAAATGCATGTTAGTTTGGATTATTTTGTGAAGATAGATTCAATAGATTTTCAGTTAAATCAGCTATTTAAATAATTGCACACTCTATCTTGGGGGGCAAATACAAACAGCTATATAAACTTATTTGCATTCTTTGAGGAAGTTTAAGGGAAGTTTCTATAAACAGACTATCTAGAAATTTTGTTTTTCCGTTTACTGTTATCTCTGTGCGTATGTTGAATCCACATGTAAGAACCCATCTAAGACAGAATTATTCCCATAGCCATAAATTAGAGCATTTATCTCAAACGGCACTGTTACAACGAAACCCTTCTGTCTCGCTTAACTCCCTGTGTCTACTAGAGAAAACACGAAGGGAAGATTGCACCGCACAGTGCAGAACAGAAAAACCCCAGGTGGGAGACGGCACGAGAAACGCCATCAGAGGACGGCGTCAGTGATGCTCCCGTTCCTCCCCTAAGCCAGCAACGCCACCGACGCGCGTTCTTTTCACCCGATGCGAAGTTGTTCCCGTGCCGCGACACCTGCGCCTCTTTTAATACCAGAGCATCAACTGCTTCTTGTCGCAGTTCCGAAACAGTTTTGCAGATGACTTTCCCGCAGAAGGCTCACTGCCAACTCAGCGCTCGCCCCCTCCGCACCCCGCCGCCGGCTCACCTCGGCCGAGGCGCCGTCCCGCGACATGGCGGCTGCCGCCCGCCCCTTCCGCTGCGCTCCGTGAGCAGACAAAGGTGGCGGCGGGGCGGCACAGGGTTCGCGGCGCGCCCTGCCGGACGAAGCTCAAGTAGGGCGCGAGTAGAACGTCAAGGCGATAAGGAAGAAGTCGCCGCGTTCTTTCTCTGTGGCAGCGTCACAGCGACGGCTGCTGCAAGGCAAAACCCTCTCCTCATCTCCTCCTCTCATCTGAGGGACTCATTTTATTGCACTCCAGAAGGTGGCAGCAAAATGTTTTAAGACAAAATGACCTGGTTTATTTGTGATGCGTCCACTTGAATTATTTGAAGTTCTTCTGTCTTAACAATGATGCTCGTGGCACTTTTAGAAAGACACTGCATTCATTTAAAACAGTTTTCCAGCTTTGCATGCTCTATATAGAAGGGATTATCTTATTTATGTTTTTGTCAGAACACATGAGAGTCAGGGCTACATCTGACAGTCTTAGCTCAGGCAGAACAGCATAGAGAGCGTATAAACAGGAGGGGGAATGGCTGTTTATGAGGGTGGCTGGTGATAGGACAAGGGGGAATGGTTTTAAAGTGAGACAGGGGAGGTTTAGGTTTAGGAGGCAGTTTTTCACCCCGAGGGTGGTGAGGCACTGTTCACAGGTTGCCCAAGGAGGCTGTGGATGCCCCATCCCTGCAGGCATTCAAGGCCAGGCTGGATGTGGCTCTGGGCAGCCTGGGCTGCTGGTTGGTGACCCTGCACACAGCAGGGGGTTGGAGCTGGATGAGCACTGTGCTCCTTTGCAACCCAGGCCATTCTGTGATTCTATGATAAGGTCCCACTGACACCCACTGAGATGAGTGGAGTTTATTCTAACTGAGACCGCAAGGTTCTGATGTAATTACAAGGGTTTTTGAGAGTCCATTTAAATATTCTGACAGCTTACTGGGGTCAACAAGAATAAGATTTTATGGTCTGAAAGTGATCATTACATCTGTGTCGATTTTTTCTTGATTAATAACTGCTCAATATATCACAAATATGAAGTTATCAAAAAGATGTACACCGGAAGGTGAAGATGCTCTTTTTCTCCCACATACACGAGGAGCATGGAGAACAGCACTTTGAGTAAATCCAGCAATTACATTGATTCAGCTAAAATAAACGTAGAAGGACTGTTTAATTCTGTTGCCCAAACGTAGGTTAGTAAGCAAGATTATACAGCGACAAGCACCACGCTGTCTCCTCTTGCTTCATATGACATTACTTATTACAGTGTGCCATATTTTGAAAAGCTATGCCCGTCTTGCCAAAATACACCATCTTTTTTCTGATTGTCTGAAAATAAAATCAGAAATACAATCAGTCGTACCTTAAGCCTGCTGGGCTAGGTCTGCTGGAGAAGATCTGCAAGTCATCCAGATCAGGCGAGGCTGAGCTGGGTTTGACCTTTGTTGCCTCAGGTGGTGAGAGCAGAGTTTTCATGTTGGGAAAGCACTCCGCACCAGCAGAGCTCAGGAAAGCCTCTAAAGATTCGTAGGTGAGTTGTAAACTGCAATGCATGCTGTCACAGGAATTCTGAGACCCAGATGTACCCCAAACCAGCTTTAAACAGCTCTGGAGTAACTGCAAAAGCAGCCAGTGCATCAGGGAAATGAACAGCAGCACTTCAGCCTTTTGTTCTCCTCGCCATAACTATTTTGAGTCTCTCATCACCGATCCAACAGGAGGGTATTGGACAACTCACCTTAATTAACTTAACTCCTATTGGCAGTTATGAAGACCTAAAGCAGAAAAAAGTGAGAAACTTTTGTCTTTTACCCAAACTGTCAATGCTAATGTATTTTTCCCCATCTTTTCTTTTGCATTTGTACAAATATACTATTTAATTATGCAATGGAAATGAAATATTCATTACTTTATGGTAAAACCTTCTTTCAGTGTAAAAATATACTCTTCTTTTTCTTAAAACAAACTGTCATTTTTCACAGATTTACACAGCAGCTTCATCCCACTACATAGATAAAAGCAATTGTATTCCAGTAGACTACAAAACACTTCATTTTTAATCACACCTGGGACCAACTGAAAGAAGAGCTGTCACACTGAAACTTTAGCTTAAAATTTGGCTTGACCTTTTCTTCATTATTCATTCCCATAGAAAGTTCAATGATACGAAAACAAAATGTTTCGTTTTTCTTACTGGAACTGCATTCGATGGCTTCCCACCTTGTTTCCAAAGGAGAAAAGCTAAGTTTGTAATGCACTGTTAATTCATAGACCATAGTAACATCCGTAACATGTGCTGTAGGTAGAAATTCAACATTGTTATTTGCATAAATTCATCCTCTCACTTTTACATCTTGGTCCTGAATTGCAAGTAGCTTAAGAAGATCCAGGCAGGATAAGAAGGTATGGCAGCTTCACTTGGCTGCTTATTGCCCTCAGAAATATTATCTTCAAACTTTGATTTGATAAATTGTATGTGTCTGCAAAACTGGAGCAAAAGAGAAGTGGTTAAAAGAAATAAATAGAGGTGGTAAAAAGTTAATGTAGATAGTAGTGTATAGAGGAAGGTATATTCTTGACTGGTTAATTTAGGCCTGAGCATTTGACTTAGAAGCAGCAGGTGGAGGTAGATATCAAGGGAAAAAGAAAGCTATTTTAAGCTAATTTTTTGGCTTGCCTTTGGTGTGTGTATGTGATGGTACTTGATGTGATTTTAAGGAAATGCAAATGGAGCACAGAGAAATGAAGAAGTGAGACACAGCTGTTTGTTGGGCTTGGTCATGGTAACAGACAGTGAACTTTTCAAACAGACAGAGCTCGGATGTGTTAGTGATGGCAGATTACACTTCCTGCTAAGGGGAGTCAGAAAATGTGAATCTTTTCATGTCAAGTGGAGTCATTTTGTGTGCAAATGACTCAAGCTACTGGTATCTGCTGTAAATTCTGCATTTAAAGTCTTGCAGATGTGCTCTGGTTAAATAAACATCTTTGATAGAAAGCTCACAGACTACATGTGAAACTACAGTTTCACTAAACATCTCTCACTTGAAGCATCTCTACGCATTAAATGCTGACAGAAAAACCCAACAGCTGTTAAGTGCTGAGGAGCAGCTCAGGCCTTTTCTGTTATGGCAGATTTCACTGCAACAGGAAGAAGACCTGTCATATTATCACCTGCACATTTGAGAAGTGTCAGGACTTCAGCTGTTCCCACCCTCAGGCTCACTAGACCTTGGATTAAAGGCTTGGACCATGTCCTGCAGCCTTGCAGACCCAAGGAATAAGAAGTCTGATATCATTAAAATTAATCAGAGATAAGAGATGCAGTAAAAGGCCAAATTAAATTGCTCTGTGGTCAGAAGGATTGACTGACTAATTCCCACTGACAATGATAATGTCTGCTCATGCTTTTTATGTCTATCGTTCTCTCTGGTTGCCTTTTAGCTTTCAGTGCTAATATGGTTCAGTAGGACAGGAAGATTTAAAGGAAAGTAATGCTGCCAGGTCTGACTCTGCAACCATTCCTTGCATACAGCGCCAGCAGCTTGAGAAAGTAAGGTTATATAATGGCTCTAGTTGAGTAAGTGTAGCAAAACTAAGGCCCATCAAGAGCCCATATGACACCTCTTTGCTCCTTAAATTTGTAATTGATGCAGGGGAACAACTTTTTATCTTTGGAATGTCATGATCTGTCACTGTACTTAAATAAGCCTCACTGGTTTTCAGGTGAGTTATATGCCCCGTCCCTGGAGACTTTCAAGGTGAGAGTGGATCAGGCCCTGGGCAACATGATGTGGTGCCCCTGTTCTCTGCAGGGGAGTTGGACTACATGGCCCTCAGAGGTCCTTCCAACTCTAAAAATTCCATCGTTCTATGATTAGATCTCTCTGCTACACTGCTGAGAGAAGGAATTATTCTCATTTTAAAGATGTAAGATAAGACCCAGGAGCTACGCCAGCAACCCAAAGGCATGCAAAAATTCTAAGTTATTGTAATTTTGGAAGGTTTCTAAGACTTCTGTTTTTCACAGTTATGCCCTTGATCAGTGAAGAAAACTCAGACATCATAGGTGATGATGTCTTGTACCTACCAGAGGCAGAGATACACAAGAAACAGAAGGATCTATGGATCTGAAGATGTTTCAGTGCTTGATATAAGGCTTCAAACAGCCTTCTTTTGTGTGGTTTCTTTTTTTTACATCAATTTGTTTGTTTCCTATGTTCGTTTAGTTTTATTAGTAGTAGCAAAGGAGATGTTGAATGGCATATTTTCTGCACATGCTCCAGACATCTGCACCTTTAAAAGATTGCTGTTTGAAGGAAGGGCAGTCCTTCACACAGCCTTTCCCCTTTGTAGGCCAACCAATGCACACACACACACTGGTCACATCTGGGGCTGCAGGCTGAGCCCTGAAGCGCTAATGCCAGAGACCTGCAAAATATAAGCTCCCAATTTTGTGTAGTTCCTATGGAGACCACGCTACTTTATATTTTTCTCACAGATCAAGGATTATATTGACTTCCCCTATATTAATATCATTGTGTACTTTTATTTCTTCGTCATTGCTACGAGGGTTATGGAAAGAACATTTCATTCAGACACGTTGAAGGAAAGCGTTGATTATCCCTAGCAGTTGGAGTCAAATAGTCCAAGTTACTAATCTGGAACATTAAATTAAACTCTGTATTTGCAAAAGAAGCTTAACAGTTCATCTTTTCTTGTTCTCCATGTTTCCTTCCTTCCGTCTGGTGAGTTTATAGCCCCTGTAACTGACTTGAAATGGTGCAGCTGCTAAGATTATTTAGCTTCAGTTTAATATCAGATGTCCTCAGTACAAATCCGCACTTCAAGTGAGCTTTTTTTCTGTTCCCTATTTCTTTTTCCATTTGGTCTGTCCTCAGTTTGGGGGATTATCGAAAGACTGGTCGAGTCTCCCTGCCAGGCTTCTTCCAGCTGCTCTGCCAGAGCAGAAAGCAGAAATCAGGAAGATTGTGGCAGGGCCATGTGGCAGGGAGCTCTGAGAGCCAGGCC